TTTAATTTACAGAGCATCCAGATGCTGTGGTCTAGATATCTTTATAAAAACCCAATCCCTGCCTCTCAACTCTTACCCTCTTGACTTGATTACAGCAGAGTGGGCGGGTGACAAAGCCAGAGGGAACGCAGAGAAAACAGAACATTGCAGCTCGGCAGAGCAGATGAACAAAAGATGTATTTATTTACGTAATAACTGAGTAAATAACATTCTGAGTTTCATTTCTTACGGGGTCCCAAAGGGCCTGAGTGAGTCAATCTTGGTCACTGCTTAGATTCACTGTGTGGTCATTTTTTTTTTTCAGGCAAGATGCCTTAGATAAGGTACAAATATGTTTGCTGGATGAGGGATATAGAAAGGAAAGTCTTAGTAAAAACCCTGTAAAGTTAAAGAAATGGGTTTTAATGGCAGAAGAAAAGAGGAACTGGATGCTTTGATGGCATTAGTGCTGGAATGAAGTAATGAAGGAGCAGTGAAGGAATTAATGGTCTGTTCCTGAATGGAGGTGACTCCTACTCTTCTGGGAGAGGAAGGGTGAAAACCCATTGTCAAGGGTTGAGTAAAGAAATTAAGAAAGTTAATATCTGGGCAGTGGTGCCCCCAGTGCCCTCAGCATTAGGTGAGCTTTATTTCCCCTCCATGGAAAGTGGAGATACAGCCAATGCTGCCAGGGATGGTGAGGGAGGAGTATGAAGGAAAAGCTGGAAAGGTTCCCTCTCCTGGATGCTCTGGCTGACAAGAGATGCACAAGTGGGGATGGGTGAGCCCCAGTAAAATGTGGGGGCTGTTGGTAGGTGGGGGGTTCATTGTATAAAACCTCCACGGATGTGTTCCCTGTTCCCATGTAGAATGCCTGCTACCCAAGGTAGATAAAACTCCTTTTCTACTGGGAACTGGAAAACACTTTGATGATCCTTTGGATCATAATCCTGGCCAACAACATGAACAGAGAGTGAAACTGTCAAAATAAGTTGGGAGAAAACCTGTGCAGTATCACAAGGCTGCGAGACATCCTGATGTGCTTTTTCCTAGGAGAGGAACTTGGGATGTTTTGTCAGTCTCCAGCTTATAATGGGAAACAGCATAGTGAAACCTCCATGAAATCATAACTCTGGATGTATGAAGCACCATAAAGAAACCAAACTAATTAGTTCAGGGCTAAGACCACACAGCCTCAGAGAAGCCTCCTCATCCTCTTTAGCAGCATCCTCTCAATGGCTCTCACTGGAGACAAGCTCAGGCTCAGCTCTGATGAAGGCCATAACACACATGTGAGAGAAAAGGTCCTCATATTTCTGAGACTTTATTATTCCTGCTAGCTACAACAAAAACACATTTGCAGGCGCTCTATGAGGAGTTATAAATAAAGAAAATTAAACTACCATCGACCCAATGAGTACAGCTCATTTTGTGCAGTGGTTTCACTGCAAAAGCTCTCTGACTTGGTAATTGGCAAAATTTTGGTGATGTGAGGTGTGCATCGCTGCTGATACCAGTAATTGGCAAGGGTGGAGGATATTATTTTAAATGGACTGACTCATTTGAAAGCATTCAAGAGCTAGAATGAAGCTACACACACAAAATGAATCAACAATGATTCTCTGGATTGCCAGCTCCCCTTAGAGTCAGGCAAAAGGTTTAATTTATTATATATCGAAGGTAAAAAAGGGATGGGATTGTGCCCATCCTTGGTGCATTTGTTGGCAGTCTATGATTTTATTTCCCTACATCCTGTGAAAACTGTATTTTTCCAACCAAGGAGAAGGGTGAAGAGAAAGTGTCTCCACTGCAAAATGTCCAAAATAACTCTTTTTTACAAAGCCTTCTGCTTGGGTCTACTCTGGTCAGCTTGATGTTTTACCCTCAAAAATACAAAACTGGCCTGTTTTACTCCCAAAAATACAAACCACCCCAAAGCTTGACACAGGCTGCAAAATGAGTTCTGTGTTTGAATCTGAACCCAGAGCCTGGTCCAAGCTCTGAGGTTTTATGCAGTACATCACCCAATGAAATTGCCTTTTCCCCTCCCCGTTTCAATTAGAAAGAACATTAGGTCAATCAGATAAAGCCACATTGGGAGGATTTCCTCTTTATGGCGCTTGCCTCTTCAATTATCTATAATGAACTTCCTCACAGCACTGCAAAGCTTTTTATATGCAAACGAACCCTGTTTTGGGGCTGCCTCAATCACGGCTCGTTAATGAACTTGAAACAAGTGTTATCGGAAAGGTTACAGCACCAGTGGTGGAGGGGGACAGGATAAAGCCCCACAAGAAAGACCAGGCTGGAGGGCTGGGATTGGCCTGCAGGTAGCAGAGTGGACTATCTCCATCCTCCATGCCACAGCCCCCACCAGAGGCTTTTCTCTGTGACACACATCAAGTGAAATGCCCGCTCCTGGGGAACGGCTGCGCGGCGGCTGATAGAGCTCACCCACCCTCCTGCCCCACTGATTCCCTCTGCCAGGGCATCTCTCTCTCAGCTCCTGGAAAAAAAACAAGGAGAGGCTGCTGCCAATGTCTTTCCTTGTGCCAGGAGAAAGAGAGGGAGCTGAGGCAGAGGCTCCAGGATTTGTTGTGCAGGTGATGTGGAAGGGTCAGGGGTGTTGAAGATATAAGGTCCTAAATGGTGTCTGCATCTGCTGGTGTGATCAGTAATGAAAACTCTTTATTATAGTCTAGATCACCTCCTTCTTCTGCTCTCTGGGGTTTTTATTTGTCTTAAATCAGCCAGGATTACAGATTATGCCTCACTTTTTTGTGCTGAGCAGCTGCAAGGAGCCTTCATGCTGGTGTGCCATGGTATGGTAGAACCATTGAACTCAAGCTTGGGAAGACTTTCCAGATGGTTAAGCCTTGCTCTTTTACCAAGAAAAATGCTTCAGTGATGCTTTACCCATTGTGTTCCAGCATTAGGAGCTCCCTGGAGAGGTTCCATCGCAGAACAGCAGCAAGGACAGGGAGGGCTGGATCAGGCTATAGCTCCTCAATTCTGCACCCCCAACACTGCAGGGGGTGCCAGTGGTAAAGCTGATCCCTGCATTGCAGCACCCCATAGGTTTTCCACCTCCAACCCTTCCTCCTTCCAGCCAGGTTAATGGGATGGCCTGTTAAGCCTTGGCAGCACACATCAAGCCAGGCCTTGTGCCAGATTATCTCAGGCAAAGAGCGACTGGATCCAAGGTGCTTCAGCTCCACCCAGCTCCAGGGGCTGTGCTTGGCTCTCCTGGTTCTGGTGCCAGCCCAGTTTAAGCACATCAGCGGCTCTCAGTCACTTCCACCATGAGCATCACCATGTAAATGCGGATGAAAAATCATCTCTCAGGCTCCTCAGTCTGGTACCCCCTTAGGACAGACCCTCAGATCGTCTCCGGGACTTGGGAAGGTTCTGGACTTCACTGCAGGGATGCATTGGGTGGTTACTGGATTTTCTGCCTGTCCCTGGCCAGGGATGAGCTCACATCCTCCATGTGATGATTTTTGGCTCTGGTAATTCTGTCTCTGGTTGGTGTAGCTACAGATGTTGCACATCTGATCCATTTCTTTATCTCCCTCAGCTATTTGCTTCACTAAGATGCTCCCACCATCTGCGCTAACAAGATCCCAGGCTCTCAATGAGCCATAAATTCCACTTTTGAACCCTTCCCTACTCTTCTGCCCTGAATCAGTCATTTTCCTCCTGCCCTCACCTTCAATTCCCTGTCTCTACTGGAACCAACTGGACCTGGGTTTAACTTTGGGCAGGACAGGCAAAGGCCGCAGTAATTTCCTAAAGAGCTGATATCACCCCAGAATCCATGAAAGGGACATCCTGCAGCTGTCTGACTGGGCTATGAAGAAGCACAGCATGCCTACTCTGACTAATTAAGCTGTGCTAATTAATGAAATTTTAAATGCAGCCACCTGTTAGGCAGCTTTGGGTGCCCAGGGTTCACCTGTGCGAGGGCCCATGAAGAGGCACCACATTAGCAACATCCACTTGGCATTTCTCCTTTTGTGAGCCATTGGAAAGCTTTTCCAAGGGGTCTCCATGCTTTTTGTGACAGTTGTTTCTTGGCAGCTGGGTCTAGATCTCTGTAATGAATATTTTTCTCCTCTTCTGAGCCAAAATAAATTCTCTTTTTAGCAACCCTGACTCCATAGGTTCCAACAGGTCTTGATGGAGCCGTGCCTTTTGTACAGGGGTGTGCTGGCTGTTGGGAAGTGAGGAATTGTGCTCAGATTTTTGCTTTATTCACTTTTATCATGGCATTGTGACTGGGTTAAGTCTGTGGAGAGAACATGATTGCTTTTCCATTACCTGAATAAACAGGGCAGGTATGAGAAAGCACCAGAGGTGGCTTCCCGGGGTCCTGGAGGCTGAAATAAGCCAGGGAGATAGGAAAGGATGGTGTGCAGGAAAGGAGGAAGGAAAGCAATCCTTCCTCACCTGTTTATCTGAGCCTTCCCGGGAATGCTCCTTGAATAGCTCAGTAATAAACCAAAGCCCACGGAGCTGCAAAGGCTTTGTAGTCAGGCAAACTGAGAAGGTTGGGAAGCACCACAGTGTTACGGTGTTCACAGGGGTCTTATGTTGAGGGAAGAGATGAGGATTTGACTCCATATTTCACAAGGCTGATTATTATTTTATGATATATATTACATTAAAACTATACTAAAAGAATAGAAGAAAAGGTTTCATCTCAGAAGGCTAGCTAAGCTAAGAATAGAAAGGAATGAATAACAAAGGCAGCTGTCCCAGACTCTCTGTCTGAGCCAGCTGAGCTGTGATTGGCCATTAATTAGAAACATCCAGCATGGACCAATCACAGATGCACCTGTTGCATTCCACAGCAGCAGATAACCATTGTTTACATTTGTTCCTGAAGCCTCTCAGCTTCTCAGGAGGAAAAAATCCTAAGGAAAGGATTTTCATGAAAAGATGTCTGTGACACCACAGGACTCTTCCTGAGGCTGGCAAACCCATGTGCTGACTTGCTTTGGTGTCTGCTCTCTCCCCAGGACTGCCCCCAGCTGCTGCAGGCCAAGAAGATCCTGGTGCCCGTGGAGGTGATCAAACCCATCACTCTGAAGGCCAAGAACCTGCCCCAGCCCCAGTCAGGCCAGCGGGGCTACGAGTGCATCCTCAACATCCAGGGCAGCGAGCAGAGGGTGCCAGCCCTGAGGTTCAACAGCTCCAGCGTGCAGTGCCAGAACACCTCGGTGAGCTGCAGGGGACACACGTGCCCACTGCACTGTGCCCAGGGGGCATGGGGTCCTGGCACAGCCCTTCTCACCTCATTCAGGGTGCTGGAGTTGGTTATCTAGAGGAAAGAAGGCTCGAGGAAGAGTTTATTGCTCTCTGGAACAACCTGGAGGTTGTGGTGAGGTTGGGGTTTGGCTTTTCTCCCAGGCAGATGGTGATAGGACAAGGGGAAATGGCCTCAAAATGACAGGGGAGGTTGAGGTTGGATATTAAGAAAAATTTCTTCACGGGAAGAGTGTTTAAACATTAAAATAGGATGAAGGCAGTGGTGGAGTCACCATCCCTGGGAGAGGTTGAGGTTGGATATTAAGAAAAATTTCTTCACTGGAAGAGTAGTTAAACATTAAAATAGAATGAAGGCAGGAGTCATCATCCCTGGAAGAGTTCAAACGAGGTGCAGACCTCACAATAGGGTCTAGTGGGCGCAGGAGTGTTCAAAGGTTGGATTTGATGATTTTGGAGGCCTTTTCCAGCTTTCATGTTTCTGTGGTTCCAAACACAAGGCAGGAAAAGGTTGACTGGTAGCTTGACACTGCCCTTTTTTTTCTCCTTGGGCTGGCTGGTGCCACCACTCAGTTGTTGCTTCTGGGTCCCATCCTCAGGCTGGGCTGGAGCACCTCAGCTGTGACCCACAGGCAGCAATATCAACTTAACCTGCTCATATTCCTATAAAAAGGGCTTCCAGTGGGACAAGTGTTGATGTCAACGTGAGAGTGAAGGTTCTTTTGGGGGAGTTTGATGATAAAACCCCATATAAACAGTCACGTGCCAGCATGTAATGGGTCAGAAAAAAGGTGAGAACACAGAATCCCAGAATGGGTTGGGTTAAAAGGAACCTTGAAGATCATCCAGTTCCAACCCCTTGTGTGGGCAGGTGTGATGGTGTTCACAGGGGTTTTAGGATGAGGGAAGAGATAAGGATCTGACTCCATGTTTCAGAAGGCTGATTTATTATTTTATGATATATATTACATTAAAACTATACTAAAAGAATAGAAGAAAAGATTTCATCAGAAGGCCAGCTAAGAATAGAATAGGAAGGAATGATAAGAAAGGCTTGTGGCTCGGCTCTCTGTCCAAGCCAGCTCAGTTTGACTGGCCATTAATCAGAAACAACCCCATGAGACCAATCCCAGATGCACCTGTTGCATTCCACAACAGCAGATAATCATTGTTTACATTTTGTTCCTGAGTCCTCTCAGCTTCTCAGAAGAAAAAATCCTAAGGAAAGGATTTTTGCTGAAAGATGTCTGCGACAGGCAGGGACACCAACACTGCACCAGGTTGCACCAAATGCCATCCAAGAATGGATGGGATTAGGCTGAGTCAAACCTTCCTCCAGCCCTCACATGCCCTCTGAGCAGCCTGTCTGTCCCTGCCCACCTCCAGTTCCCCACCTGAAGGGCAGGACCTGTGACTCTCCTTGCAAGGAACCTGTGTGAGTCATGACAGTGCTGTCACCACAGCAATGTCACTTTTGGGGACAAACCCAGTCAGCACCCAGTGCAGTGGAGACCCCTGCTTCTCCAGAGGTTTATCCATGTCTCCAGGATATGCATTGAGTCATCTCCGTTGCTGCTGCTGTGAGATGATTTATTAGTCAAAGAGCTAATTACAGGCTTTAGCCACTCCACGCTGGGCAGTGCTTGTCACAACACATTCTGCTGCATTAAGCAGGGCTGAGGACTGCAGGCAGTTCACACATTTTACATCTGTTGCAAACAAGCAACTTCCCAACCGATGCTCTTTTATTTGTTCCTTTGTCTCCCTCCCTCCCATCTCTCCCTGATTTCCATTACTGGTTAATGACCTGTGAGCATTCAGGTTTCAGGTTAGAAATGGACAGACTGGGAAGTTCAGGAGGGATGCACATTTTCTTTAGAGTGTTATTTTTTTAAATGGTGGAAGCTAAGGGGGAATTGCATGGTGGTGGGCAGAGATTATATCTGTCCAAAGAGTCTTAACAGGCAAGACAGACCTTTAATGACCCTTTAGAGTCAGGAATTCTCTGGCACACGTAGGCATTCCAATGAATTATCTCATTTAAGGATTATTTAAGCATAGTTGGGCTGGGCAGGAAAGTAACTCCAGCCAGCCTCAGCATTCCACTTTGCAGAACCCAATAAAAGAGTGGTTTTGACAGGCAATGGTGATTATTCCCACACTACCTGCATGCTCCAAGAACTTGCCAGTGCCTGGGACTGGAGAAGTGGGGTTTGATGAGTCCCCTGGTGGATTTGCTTATAGGATGCCTGAATGCTGTGACTGCACCATTTTGACTTTAATGTCTGTTTTCCTAAGCCAGAGCTGCAGAGGGTGGCAGGGCTGAGCCTCAGGCTGGTGCCAAGGCACTGCATGGCCTCACTGCTGGTGCTGTCTGCAGGGTGCTTGTCCTGTGCTTTTGGTGGCCCAGGTGGATTTAATTCTTCTCCAGGGACAGAGGCTCATTTGGGAATAAAACCAACTCTTTTCTATCCTTTCTGCCTCTTCTCTCCCTCTGCCCTCCCCTTTCCCTCTCCCTCACTTTCCTCCTTTTTCCCTCTTTTTGCTTCCCTTGTCTTTTCTTTCCTCCCCTTTCCTTCTCTTGTCTTTCCTTTCCACCCCTTTTCTTCCCCTTCCTTTTGAAAGAGCTTTGACTCTCTGATTTGAGGTCTTCTTTTCTTCTTTCCTTTTTTTTCCCCTGAGAAATGTTATTTCATTGTTGCTTGGAATTTGCCAGACACTGAGAGAAAGAGATGTGGAAGGGAGAGGCAGACAAAAGAAAGCAGCATTCAGAGAGATACAAAAAGGCAGCAGAGAAGCCCTGGCTGGTGGAGCAGGTGGCAGAGGACACAGACAATAGGGAAGGAGTGCTGGAGATCTGTCTCCATCATGATTATTTCCTTCCCTGCCAGAATTAGCATTCAGGCAGGAGCCACTGCAGCACAATGAGCCTCTGCTCCGGGGGTCACCTGGCTTTGGAGAGAGCTGTCTGAGCCTGTTTGCAAATCCAACCAACCCCCTCTGACAGAGCTGTTTTACTCAGCACAGTTGCTGGAGGAGGCACTGAAGGTAGCACCTGCATTGCAGGCTTGGAGGAGGTCCAGGGGAGGGTGGGAGGATGTGCTGTGATGTCCCTGAAGGGATGCTGTCCTGCCAGCAGATCCCTCTGTTGGTGCTGCATGCTAGACTAAGCAATCACTCCTGCCTTGTTTTCCAAGATCTGC